AATCGAACTGAAAATATTGAGTTCAATAAAATTTTCGAATACATATAATCATATGAGGGCTGATTTCACCCTATCAGGGAGTTATTCTTTCTGAAGCTCGGTATCAGTGATATTGGTTTTGTATCAGAGATTCTATATTCACCCTACGATTTGCTTGACAACGTCAGAATATTGAGGGAAATATAAAAACATGAATCGATCTCGTTGGGGTTGTTTACCCCGATGGGCAATTATCCCCAATTGAACATTATATGGAACGTACCAGCGTACATGGAGTTATGCAGGAACCATCTTGCAATCAAAATCAGAATATACAGTTTCATGAAATCTTCGAATTCATCGAATCGTATGAGGGCTGATTTCACCCTGTTAGGGAGTTATTCTTTCTGAAGCTCGGTATCAGTGATATTGGTTTTGTATCAGAGATTCTATATTCACCCTACGATTTGCTTGACAACGTCAGAATATTGAGGGAAATATGAAAACATAAATCGATCTCGTTGGGGTTGTTTACCCTGATGGGCAATTATTCCCAATGAAACATTATATGGAACGTACCAGCGTACATGGAGTAATGCAGGAACCATCTTGCAATCAAAATCAGAATATACAGTTTCATGAAATCTTCGAATTCATCGAATCGTATGAGGGCTGATTTCACCCTGTTAGGGAGTTATTCTTTCTGAAGCTCGGTATCAGTGATATTGGTTTTGTATCAGAGATTCTATATTCACCCTACGATTTGCTTGACTACGTCAGAATATTGAGGGAGATATGAAAACATGAATCGATCTGGTTGGGGTTGTTTACCCCAATGGGCAGTTATTTTTAATGAAATCATATATGAAACGTACCAGCGTATCTGGGACTATGCAGAAACCATCTTCAAATCGAACTGAAAATATTGAGTTCAATAAAATTTTCGAATACATATAATCATATGAAGGCTGATTTCACCCTATTAGGGAGTTATTCTTCCTGAAGCTCGGTATCAGTGATATTGGTTTTGTATCAGAGATTCCATATTCACCCTACGATTTGCTTGACAACGTCGGGATATTGAGGAAAATATGAAAACATGAATCGGTCTCGTTGGGGATGTTTACTCCAAAGGGTAGTTATTCCCAATAACATCATATATTTCAGCGAAAATTGCCTCATTATGAATTATTTTGTCAAACTTGTTGTTGGACCAATATTTGTCTGGGCGACTATAAAATGGCGGAAGCGCAGATTCAAATCTGAAGCTAACTTCAGCCACATAAGGCGTTGTCTTATTTGGATGTACAGTCGTATTCAATAAAAAAGCGTACAAGTATTAAAATGAGAGGATTTCGGGATCCTAGTTCTAGTTGTGTAAAACTGGCTCAGCCATTGCTTTATGTTTTCGAGAACCTATGACAACTTTGCTGTCAACATTTGGTGAACAATCATTCCCGATATCCCATTTTATGCAGAATAGGATGACGTTAATTTCTCTCTGTAATATGCTTGTACGCTTTATTTTTGAATGCGACTGTACCTACAAACTAACTAAGAGACAACTACGAAATAGCCACAATGATCAAAGTGGGATAAAATGTATAAATAAATACAAAAAGCTCAAGGTCATTTTCACACAATGTTCATAAATGAACAACAATGGTAGATTTCGGGAGAAAAACAACTACTTCCCTGGCTATAATGCCACGCAGAACATTGAATTACATCCTCCCGAAATCTATGCAACGACTAACAAAAGAAATGATCCACACCTGATACTATTCTTTCGAATTTTGTAATTTTGGAAGTCTGACATTAGTCAAAATCTCAAGTGTTATACATCGTTGAATTACGAATTTATTGCACTTCACTAATCAACAAAGAAATGTAAAGTGTGATTTGAAAAAATGAAGTTGGGGGTGATTTTTCAGGGATAGTTGGATAGACATTGACACAATGGCTTCAAGACAAAAGTGATTTTCTTTCCAAGCAGTGTAACAGAGATATCGGCTCTATGAAAAAATTTGGGTGTCCGGGTGTCCAAAGTTATCGTAAACAGGCAAAATCTCACTTATTTGACAAAATAATCGGAAAATTTGAAAACTGCAATGAATGACATAGAAGTACCTTCCTAATGACATATAAAAATATGAATTACATTTGACAGTTCTCTGGCAGCTATCCCCCACTCTTCATTTTTTTCAAATGGTATATTGTCATTGAAAATTGCGTGTTTTCCTATGAGGAATACAACAAAAGCATATACTCGGTATTTTTTTTCATTATTATAACAACAAAACCAGCAACGTTTAATGTATGAATTTCAGAAAAAATATATTTTATGCGAATCAAAAGATGAATTAAAAATCAGTAAAAGTGTTCAAAATTATTTTGGCATCGTCTTTTTGAAACAAGAAACATGAGCAAAATGTTGATATTTTTGTTGTTATCAATAAAAAAATACCAAGTATAAACTATCGTTGTATTCCAAATTGATTACCACTTAATTTCCAATGACAATATACAGGGGGTGCCATTTGAACATAAAAAGTGGGGGGTACCTGCCAGAGAACTGTTAAATGTAAGATTTTTTATGTCAATAGGAACATACTTCAATGTCATTCAATGCAGTTTTGAAATTTTTCAATTATCCTGTCAATTAAGCGAGATTTTGCCTGTAAACGATAACTTGGGACCCCTGATATGCATATTATGATTGTTTTCCTGGAACATCATCAGTAGATATACAGAGTGTGAATGTCATGTACATATTGAAGGAGGTGATTCCTAGGCTTATTTTAGGGCTGAAAGTTCCTATAGAAATATGTCTGGAATTGCTTCTTTGGCCACCCTGTAGAGGTTTTCGTGATATCAATATTTATTCTGTTATGTGACTGAAGGAGTGGAAAAAATTCATATGAGGGTGATTCAGTAACCTGAAACGGATATCTTGAATAGAGTACTATACACCAGCATTAGAATCTGGTATCGTTTTTACTAGGCCCCACTGAAACAGTAGTTTTTTTGTATGAAAGTAAATGGCCTTCCATAGTTTTGTATGAAATTCAGAAATTTTCTTTCGGTGCTGAATTTTTAGTGAAAAACAAGAAATAATATCTGAAAATCCGATTGGCCAAATGTTATCACTATAGGGACGTTCTTTTATTCACCGGTGGCTCCATCGATCCACCACCTGTGTTCATATAATTATTCTTTAGTGGCTTCCAAAATAACAGCGACATAATAACCTCAAGAAACTGAAAACTGAATATTGGATTTGGAAGCTGTTTGCCATTTGCCCAAGAAAAAATATGGACGAATGAAAATAAAATAATAGCTGCATTATTGACACCAACAGAAATTTCGAGTGTTATAGGTACTTCTTCTTTTCCATCATGGATTTCAAGAAATTAGTGCGACCATTTAGGAAACTTGGGTACCAACAGATAATTCTTATTAATGATCCTATCCATATCATCATAATTTAATGCAATGTTTTGTATATAGGTTGCTGAGAATTTTCAACCTATCTCGTCTACTCTACTCTACTCATCAGCTGATGAACTGTTAGAAATTCTGAATCTGGAGACAAGAACTCCAGTAACACTTTTAATACATCATTTCCCATTTTACATCAGTTTTCGCCAATTCTGAGGTTTTAATTGGAAACAATCTGAATCACCATCAAATCAGGAAAACAAAAATTAAAAATGGAAAAAACAGTTGTGATTGTCATGTCAAATATCTGCTTTCTCTTTCAACACTGATGACTCCAACAATTCGGTGCATCAGAGAGTGATGTTACTTCCATTAATGATGAAAATGTGGTGTAACAAGGAACACACCCTATACCATTCGCCCTCATGATCTCATTTTAATTCATTGAAATATTTTTGTTTTCTTTTTCAGCCATTGCTTGGTAATTGAATGAAACTCATCAGTGTTTATCAACTTTGACAGCCTATAATATATCTCGAAAACAAATCTAAGTCAAGGCTTAACCTCTTTCAATATATTCATGAAACGTAGGAACACACTCTGTAATCATTTTTATTCGATTCAACATACAATATAACAACTATAGTCGCTAACGATAATTTACAAGGTGACATTTATACATTATATTTTACACATCTAATTTTTAAACCAAGATGCCCTTCAAATGAAATGATCCACTAATTTTAACTTTATTTTTTTTATAAAAAAGGTATCATAATGTTGTTTGAATGCTATAACACACAACCAATTTTTTAATGATTCTCGGATTATAGATACCTTGTTTATAATATCTAATATCAACCTTAAATTATGTATCATTCAGTACAGGGTGTATTTTCGTTAGGAGTACCCTGCATATAAAGTGACTGAATTTATTCTTTGATGTGACTTCGGAAGACGAATCATTCATATAACACAGATTACAATGGAAGACATAGTTTCACTTATATTTATATTAAGTACACATGTATATACTTCTCAAATATGATTTTGAACAATTTGAACAAAACGATATTATATTACATTGCGATTAACTAAATAGGTATGATACATCACCTATCAACACATAATTGAAATCCTCATCTTTTATATTTTCTTGGAAAATCCAAATAATGAAAGTTACCAGAATTGAGAGACATTGATTGTGCCTGAGGGATGTATCAAAATCAATAAATTATTAATGTAACAAGAGTAGGTATTCACCTCAGATCCTCAGGATAATATAATACAGAAAATTATACATCTCAACGTTTTCTTCCTACATGTATTACTTATGTGCTATTTTGTAAAACTGAACTATATTTAATTGAATAAACTACTGTTGAGAATTGACTATGATATCAAATGTTTCAACATGTTCCTATATTAATAATAATTGTAAAAATGACAAGATTTTATAAAAATCATCTCTTACACTTCAAAAATAACATTATGTAAAACATTCAATATTATTTATAATAGTGTATTATCATTTTTGTATAATGGAAGACCAACATTTCACCACAGATTTAATGGAAGACATTTATTCAAATCGTGGAGTGGATCGTTTTTATTGCGCTTCTAAGGATCATTACACATGTAGATAAATTTCGCGCCAATTGAAATCAATGCTATGCTTCATGATATTTTATCATCTTTTGCACTGAAATACTTTCAGACAAGCTTTCAACCTCAACCATAACATGTTTCTTATTAGCGATTTTCCTTATCAGAAAGTGACTATCGTAGCCGCTTAAATTATGAAGTACTGTGGGTAGCACGGGATTTTCGATAAGTCATATTGCAAACTCGTTCACGATAAAGGCATGTCGTTAAATTTCGGGTTGGTGACGGTATTATTTTTAAGCGAAGGTTCAAAATTTACTATCCATGACCTACTTTCTTCCCTACTATCCACAAAACGAACTATTTGAGAGGTGTGGAGTAAGACTGTGATACTGAGGAGGGTGAGCACCTATTTTAGTTTTGATGTCCTCATCATACCCACATGTTGCCTTGGTTCCTACTACATCCATCAGCAATCGCAATCAAAAAGATTACTGTGTTGATGAATTCACCAACTGATGAATCTTCATCAAATGATTTTTCAACTGATCAAATTCACCAATCCGCGCAAAGTACGTGACCTTGGTGGAAATTACTGTTGAATTTAGCAAGTCTATGGATGCAAGCAGTGTCAGTTTTCTGACTTTTCTGTCTTCTGTTGTACACAGACTTCGTTAATCGTTCTTGAAGTAAATTATGGAAATTGGTTTAATTCATGATATAAAAATCGCAATAAGGAAGATGTAACTGTAACCAGTTCCTAACATCTAAAGCTCTGCATGAACCACTCTGACCCTTCAAAATGGAAGACCGATAGCGAAGGCTTTGATGAGAGCATTTCCAGAATCGAAAATACCAATGATCCCGAACAAGAACCCCAGGAAAATAATGAAATAATCTAGAGCGATAGTCTTGGAGTCCATGGTGCTCCTCTTCAGCTTCAAATGGAAATAACAGGGCCAAATGAAGCTGAGCATCGTACCCGTGAAGCTCCCAATAAACCCCATCAGTATAGAGAAATGCGGTATGAAGCAAGCCATCAGAATGGTGAAAACAATCACCCCGATCCTCCAAGCCAATCCCCAGACCTTCAATTCCCCATCTTGCGCCCAAATCGAGGGGAAGGGTGTTTTCGGTTTGCCCTTGAAGAAAGCTCTTTCCAGAAGCTCGCAAGCCGCGTAGTAAGGCAGAGGATAGCTCAGCAGCGCTTTAACCACCAAGCAGATGTTGACGAGCCCTTTGAAGCCTGCTGACGGTAGATTGTTGGTGATGACTTGCTGCGTGTCGTTCTGGAAGGTCAAGAAGCAGACGTAACCGAAAGCAGCCTTGAAGACCGCAGCCCACACGTGGGACCAGTCCAGCATCCACTGGAACTTGCTGGGATCCTCCATGTTGCCTTCCAGCGTGGGCAGAAAGATTTGGGAGGTGTAGGAGAAGACGATGACGCCGAGGCTGATGGGGAAGTTCTCCATGTCGATGGACCATTTGACCTTGGACCAGCCCCAGTCGCCGATGTAGAGGATGCAGTAGCCCAGGATGATGGCGTTGATGAAGATGTGGGACATGGTACACCAAAAGGATAGCAAGCTGACGCTCTTCAGGGACTTGAGGAATCCTGGAATCGACGAGATGTTGTGATTCGATTCAAATAAACACCGTTGAATTTAACATACATCGCTAGTTTTAGTTTCACGAAAGACTTTGGATAGTATAGTATAGTATGGTATGATGTTTATTTCCAATGAAATTCATTCATATACATGATTGGAAAACATAAATGAGAATAAATCGAGAGATAAACATGAATGAATTCCACAGAAGTATTATACATACTTGTTTGTGGAAAATAAAAAAAAAATCAATTCGACAAGGATATTATATATATGACCTATCTTCACATCCTATCTTAATACAATTTACTTGATTCTTTGGGATTTTTTCTCCTCGTTTCTATAAAATAAAAATATACGTATTATTTCAATATATTTGTAGTGGGACAAATCAGATGATTTGCCTCAAAATGTCACTGCGTTCAACAAATTTTTCTATTAGGGAGCCTAAAAGAAAAATCCAGTAGCTTGTCAGTGAAAATTTGTTTGAAAAAATGTTTGAAGGAGAGAAAAATATATATATTGAAGAAAATATCGAATTTTTACTTATCTTTGGACGTTTCGGGACCGAATCTGCCCCCGTTCTCAACATGAAAATGCAAAATATTTCTCTTTGGAAGTTGTGCTGCTTATAGTTTGACACTTTTCAGTGGCATATGAATAAGTGATTTTAGTCTACAAATGAGTTACAGGATGTTTCAATTAATTGATCTTGAAAAGAAAAACCAAGGAATCCGCTTGCATCCTTCTGAACGGAGACAATAGCATTGCTTCCTGTTCAGTTGATATAGATAGAACATGGAATTCACTACTGAAAACTGAACATGAAAATAGTAGATTCAAGATCAATTAACGAACACATCCTGTAACTCATTTGTGACTAAAATCACTCATTCATATACCAACATCAGCAGTAGAGAGTAATCTACTATCAAACCAGTCTTTGAGTTTCACGAGATCTTCCTCAAAATTCAATTTGAGATTGTACCAGTCATCATTCTTATAGTATATCACAGTGTTATCCGCAAAACTGGTGATTTTTCCTATCGTTTCTTGTATGAATATATCGTTCAAGTGAATTATGGATAACAACGGCCCCAATACTGTGTCCTGAGGTACTCCACATGTTATTTTCATTCCTCTACTGATATGGCTTTTAATTCTTACTCTCTGTTACATGTCTGTTGAGTAGCTTTTTGATAACGTGTGTGCTTTATCTCTCACGCCCATGTATTTTAGTGTATCTTAAAGTTTGGAGTGGTCGACTGTATCGAAGGCCTTCTTCAAGTCTATGAAAACACCTATTGAGGAAGTACTTGAGTCTAACGATTCATATATATCTTTTGTCAATGATTGAATTGCATCATTTGTTGATTTATTATCTCTGAACGCATACTGAGATGTTGACAGTAGTTCAAATTTGGATAGTTTAGTTTAGTTTAGTTTTAGTTTAGTTTATTTATTGGCAAAGTATTACACTAAAGTGCTTTTACAAGTCAGATATAAGAAAATGAGAGAGAAAAAAAAAATGTTACAAATAGTACATAAACAGTATAAAACATGTCACTAGTATGATACAGCTTGTCAGATACGAATCTAATAGGTAGCAATACATAGGAAGACAAACATCAAAATATAGTAAGGAATACATTTACATATTAAAGTCACTTTCTAGATACTCTTCGATGGAATAGAAGGCATTTTTCAAGAGATACGTTTTGACTTTGTTTTTAAAATAGTTAAAATTTAGGTTTTTGACCTCTATTGGAAGAGCATTAAAAAATTTTATGCCGTAGTAATCAGCGCCCCTTCTTGTACGTTGCAACCTGTGGTAGCTGAGTACTAAATTGTCTTTATTTCTTGTTGGATATGAGTGAATATCACTATGTGATCTGAAGTTAGCTAGGTTCTGCTTTATGTAGGTTAGGCAGTGAAAAATAAAAGTACATGGAAGTGTAAGGAGTCTCAGTTCTGCAAAACTATTTCTACAACACTCTCGATACTTCAAACCTGCGATAATTCTAACACAACGTCTCTGTAATTTAAAAATTTGAACAGTATTGGGGGAATGACCCCAGTTTAAGATAGCATAGGATAAATTGGAATTAAAGTATCCATGGTAAGCCGAAAGTAGGGTGTCCCTGGATACATTTTTTGAAAGACTTCTTATTAGGAAAGTTATTTTAGACAGCTTGGAGCTTAGATGATTTATATGAACGTTCCATGTCAACCCTGGATCCAAGTAGACCCCCAAAAATTTAACTGATGCCTGACTTTCCAGGTTTGTTGCAGAAGTTTGCAAAGTGAAGTTCATATTATGTGTCTTGTCAGCATTTAGACTTAGTTTGTTAGCCAAAAACCAATTCTTAATCTGGTCATCTTTATTTTTGGTCCACTGAAGTATTGGGTCTGAGGGGTGGTAACGCATCAATGTAGTGGTATCGTCGGCAAATAAGATTATAAGCAGAGATGTGATATTGGTGAAGTTAGGCAAGTCGTTTATGTAAATGAGGAAAAGCAGAGGACCCAGCACAGAGCCCTGAGGAACTCCATGCTGAATCCTCTGCTTTTTTGATTCCACATTATTGAAGAAAACATATTGCTCCCTCTCCTCCAGATAGGACTTGACAAGAGCTACACTGCTTTGGTGAAAATTGTAGTGAATTAGTTTTTTATAGATGATTTCGAAAGAGATGCAATCGAACGCTTTTGTCAAATCTAGGAAGGTAGCATAAGTGTTCTGTTTGTTATCAAGGCCTTCAGCTACAAACTCAATTAGTCGATCTATAGCTAAAGTAGTACTTCTTTTACTGCGAAAACCAAACTGGTTTGGTGAAAAAATGCCATTTTGTTCAAAATATTCATTCATTTGGTCTTTTAACAGTGATTCAAAAATTTTTGCTATTATTGGCAACAATGATATTGGCCTGTAGTTGGTTAGATCTTCGGGATCACCCTTGTTCTTAAAGATGGGTATAACTTTTGCTAGCTTGAAGTGAGATGGGAATTTACTAACACGAATGCAGTGATTAAACATGTCCGTCAAAGGTTTGCATAATATATACTTAAGATGTTTGATAATTTTAGAGTTAATGTCATAGCAGTCTTTGCTATTACTGTTTTTGAGGCATGAGATTTTATTTAGAACCATTTCTTGACTGACTTCTCGAAACACAAAGCTATGACCTGTATATTGGTTTGTTAAATAATCATTGTAGGAGCAATTTGTAGTGGCAAGGTTTTTGATTATTTCGTCAGCTATTGAGATGAAAAAATTATTAAAGACATGAGCATTAAGCCCAGTACCCTCAGGGGTAGAGGGAGAGTTCCTATGAGAATTAATGATGTGCCACATTGCTTGAGATTTATTGGCTGCATTGTTAATAAAGTTATCATGGGCGGTTTTTTTGGAGTTGGTTATCTCTCTCCTATATTGAAGTTTATAGCTACTGACCATGTTTTTGGGGACCAGAGTTGGATTTTGTTTGTGCAGGAGACTTAGTGTTTGTAGCCTACCCCTCATATTCCTAAGATTGTCATTAAACCAGTTTACTTTACAAAAACGCTGATTTTTTTTAACCATCCTGGATTGAAGTGGTAGGTTTTTGTCTATTGCATTGGTTAAGACGCTAAGAAAATTGCATAATTGGGCCTCGACATCACAATCGGCTTGTGTTATAGAAGACCAATTAAAAACTTTTAGCTGATTGTATATAGACTCAAGACCTTCATTCGTAATCGGTCTGTAATTGATCCTAGTGCTATGATTGTAAGCAAATTGTATAGGTGTATTAAAAACTATTCCAGAGTGATCTGAGATACCTTCCAAAGCAATAGGGGAGATATCGAGATTTGAAGTATTAAAATTGACGTAAACATTATCTAGGGTAGCTTGCCCCCTAGTTTTAAAATTAACAGTTGGAAACAGGTCATATGAGTTAAAAAATAGGTTAAGATACTCAGCCTCCTTACAGCTCGGCTGTTCGTAATGCACATTAAAATCACCAAATAAAATAGTATTACCTGTGAGGTCTAATTTATCCAGAACCTGAGACATAACTTCAAAATATGTATTTAGTTCACCCTTAGGAGATCTGTAAACTGTTAAAATGTTGGTATTGATAGAGGAAATGTGAATCCCCGCTACCTCACACTGTAGTTCCCTGGAAAGGTTTGGTAGATTAAGTTCTTGACAGTCCAAACCTTCTTTAAGATAGATGCCAACACCTCCATGTGCTTTATTAGTTCTACAAAAACTGGAAATGGCCACGAAGCCTTTTATTTTTATTTGTGAGAACTCATCAGTATGAAGCCAATGCTCATTAGTACAAAAGCAATCAGCCTTCGATTCCTTGAGAAGTATTTCAAAATCAGAAATTTTATCCCTAATACCTTGTACATTAGCGTAAAAGACTTTAAAGTTTTTACTTAATAGACCCTTGCGACTTCTTCCTTCCTTTGACAGCTTCTTCCTTCCTCTGACGGCTTTTGCAAATGTTGTATGTTTGGAAAGCTGGCTTTTCGGAGAAATAATTGAATTACTTGGGTTTTCACAATTGGTTTGAGTTTTTATAATTACATCTTTCGAGTAATCACTTTCAACTGGGCAGATTTTCAGATCCCCTTTCATTAAAAATTTTCTGTATTGTCACTAGCGTCATTGATGACATCTCTGATGTTAAAAACTTCATAGTATTTTTTAAAGTCAAATCTTCTATAGCAGACCCCTTTTGGCCAAAAAGAAGGAGTATACAGTTGATCCTTGTAACTAAAGTCTGTGGCAACTATGAAACTTATTGTATTCATACTGCTGCACTGAACTTTCTTTACAATGATATGTTCACTTTCGTCCACATTATTCTGTTGAAAGTTAAGTTTATTTTCAATATAGGATTTAATGTCCTTTTCATTCACTTCCTTTGCTACTCTGTAAATGTACATGTAACATTTTGGTT